TCCTGCTCTGGATACAACACTGAGCGAGTTCGTGCCAGCAGTTGCCCAGGGCTGCCCCGATCCCTGGCAGTTTTTATTCAAGTATACTGAATTAAGAGGTAACGCGCGAGCTGCCTGTGCTAGCTGACGTCAAGGAGCGCAGATGCTACCTCGGCAAAGATGCTTCAGGACATCCTCACCACCCAGCATTTTACTGCCAGCCTCTGACCTTTTCCTTTTTTTTTTTTTTTTTTTTTTTTTTTTTGGTCCTCCTTTGCCTTCCAAAGCACAGCTTGGTTTAGATTTAAATGAAGCTCTCGGTTTCTTTCCCTTCCTCCTACTACGTAATAACAAGTTCATTCCCACTATGCTAGAAAAACTCTCATTTTTCATTGCAAATCGACCTGTCATTTAGCATATACTGCCGGCAAACATCCCCCCTCCAATGCAACACTACAACAAAGAGGCATGAGCTGAATCAGTCATCATTTTAACAGAAGTAAAGACAGCGGTGATAGGAACTCAGCACGGTTTCAGCCCAGTGCTACTGGAGCACTCATTCAAGTTTGCAAGAATAAAAAGTCTTATTTGAGTCTTACTTTTCTAAAAGTACCGGAACACATTGAGATTTTCTAGGGAAATTCAACTGGGATTGCCCGGTGCTGCCTCAAGGCACAGAAAGTGCAGGGCAAGTGAGAAAACCGAACAGCCGTGGCGCGCACAAAGCGGGGGGGAGCTGGCGCGCTGGGCGAGACCAAGCCCTTGCACATCAGTGGCTCCGCACAGGGCTCAGAAAAGGGAAGGCGTGCATCGCCTTGAATCTATACTTTTCTTTTTCTCCTTCAGCCAGAAAAAGGCAAAGGACGCGTGGAATGAACGCCATCCTACTGGAGCGACGGCCACCTACCCAGCGGGCCCAAAGGAGAGGTTTGCTGCAGAGGGCTCTCGAGTTCTGCTCCGCCGCCGGAACTCCCCGGGACGGGATTTGGGCAGCGTTCCCACTCCGGCGCACGTGCTGTTTCACACTACTGAAGCTGCTCCACAAGGACTCCTATCAATAGCTAATGGCACATTTTACCAGGTAAGATTTTTGACTCACAACTGATGCCAAAATCCATTTTGTTAGGCCCACCACAAAAAAAAAAAAAAGAATTTAGTAGTTTGAGTTCTGTCTGGTTTTACAGAGTTCATCATTTTTAAAGGCAAGGGCAGCTACGGGTCGCCCCCTTCCCCGCCAGCTGCGTTCCAAAGCCAGCAGAGGGAGCGTCCCTGCTCTCGCATCAGCTCCCTCCAGCCCGGCGATTTTAAAAACCCTTTGGTCAGCTTTGAGAGAGTCGCTTCGCTCGCCCGGCCCGCGCTTGGCAAAGGAGGCACCGGCACGAGCAGACCAGGCCGTTCCCAACACCCAGTTCCCAGAAGCAGGCTCGGGGGGGGGATAGCTCCCGGGGCAGGGCTGCCAGCGAATTCTTTCGTTAGTCAAAGCGGGATACGCTGTAACTCGACTTGGCCCAGGAATGCTGACAGCGGACAAAAGAACAGCTAAAAGGTGAATGCTTGCTGTCTCTGCCAGCTGTGGGGCATATTCACAGCCACGCCTGCTCTCTTTCCGTGGCCAATCCCTATTAACAGCATACAAACGGAATTAAAGAATTCCGGCACGTTTCAAGCAGCCTTGCTCTCGACAGGGGCACACGGCAGGATTCGGAACACGACCAGGAGCCTGGAGCATGACCGAGCCCTAACAGCCCCGCGCCGCTCAGTTGCTGCCCTCGGGCGCAGGAGATGGGAGCGGAAGGGAGGGCTTGGGCTGCAGGTTTTTCGGAAAAGAGCGGGTGAAAGCAATAACCCCGGAGGCGACCCATAATAAGCTGTCACGTCATTACAAGTGTAGCTTCCTGTTAATGAAAAACAACCATAACTTCAATCAAAAAGCGCTTTTACCCTTTGCAGCGTCCAGGCAGCCGCAATTCCCACTTCCTTCACCATTTAGGAGGCAAAAGCAGCAAATAAATGCCAGCAGATATGCCCACTGGCGGTACACACGCAGCCCTTTCTTTCCCAAAGTGTACTAAGAACATCCGCACCAGTGTCTTGTCTCACACAACCGGTAGTCACCAGGAGACGTCCTGATGGACGACAAGGTGGCCATGAGCCAGCAGGGTGCCCTTGGTGCCAAGAAGGCCAATGGCACCCTGGGGTGCATTAAGATGAGCATGGCCAGCAGGGCAAGGGAGGTTCTCCTCCCCCTCTGCTCTGCCCTGGTGAGACCCCACCTGGAGCACTGGGTCCAGTTCTGGGCCCCCCGGTTCAAGAAAGATGAGGAACTCCTGGAGAGAGTCCAGAGGAGAGCAACTAGGATGGTGGGGGGACTGGAACATCTTTTGAACACAACATCTTAAATATTTACCAAGGTTCTATGAGAAGCATGGCTGAAGGACACACCACAACACCAGAGGTTCAGCTGTGAAGCTTCCCACGTATCCTTTAACAAAGCAAATGAACGCTAAAAAGATTCCCGCTTCTCTCAGATTGCTTCTGTGAATTTGCCACAACACTTCAGTATTTAGATAAAGTCCCTCTTAATGAGCAGATCCAATGTTCCAGCCACTAGGCTTTGCTTTTTAAAAAAAAAAAAAAAGTGGTAAAATTTAAAGCTCTGGAAATAACGCAGAAGCAAAATCCAGCCAATTACATATATCAAGTAAACCAAAAACCTGTGATTGTATGGAAAGGCCAAGTCAAACGAGATCTAGAAAAAGCAAAGTGAGTGCATAAATATGGCAATTCTGGGCTCAGTATTTGCGGTAGAAATCTCATTTTCTCTGTGCCTTAGTCCCATCTCCTCTCTGGAATTTGCTCCTCCGCTCTT